AATTTTTATGGGAGAAGGCATCTTCATCTCACTCCTGGTTTGAACTACCAAACTCCAGGCCAGTAGTCCAATGTTTAACCCAAAATGCCACCGGGACTCCTATCTTCCAAGACTAATTTTTTATGCACAAAAATACACTCATTTTGCTTCCATTGGTGGTGGGTTTGAACCGTTAAACTTGCAGTCAACAGCCCAACACTTAGCCCAAAAGGCCACCAGGTCTCCTGTGTAAACCAATCCAGTGGGTCTGATTTTCAAACCAGTAGGTATTTGAGTGAGTGAGTGACTGGTTTCCTTCAGTCATTCATGGGGATGGCATATCGGTCCATGATTCATGGAACAGATTTATTCTGGCCTCATGAATGGGCACATCCTATTCTGACTTTTCAAACAGAGCTAGTAACAGTGACTGATTGTGTGCATAGAGGGTTATTGGAGCCAAACCAGGCCCCTGTCTATAGATGCTGCCTATGATTGATAAATCCAAGTGGCACAGCCATAGGTGTTTGGCTCCTAACTCCAAGCTCACTGGTTTAAACCCACCAACTGCTTCGCATAAGGGAAAGATAATATTTACAGCTCCAGAAATCCCAGACAGGGTTGCTATGCATCTGAATGGACTGAACAATAAGGGGCCATTGGTCTGGGTTGTCTTTGCATAGCAGCAGAAATCATGATTTCGGCAACGTGTTTCTGTCTGCCAATCTGAAAACATCTATTCTCTGGGCCTTCTCCCAACATGTCTGCTGGGCCTGGTTCCAGAAAGTTCAGCCACAAAGCCCTTGGGCCCACACGAATTGTCCCATTACACGATGAGTCCTGCAGGTTGAGACTGACTTGCTCCACTTAGCCAAGGAAACTCTGGCGGTCATGGCCAAAAGGACAACAGCCAAGAGGTCCTGAGGAGGAGACAGGCCTGCGTGAGTGTGTGTCTAACCCAGGTGGGGCTTCCTCCCACAGATCACCGGGAAGATTGCTGCCTGCAAGCCCGTGGCCACCGCTCTGGATTCCGCTGTCGACGTCTTTCTCTGCAGCTACGTCGTGGACCCCATGGTAAGAGTTTCCTCTCATGGTAAGAGTTTCCTCTCATGGTAAGAGTTTCCTCTCACGCAGTGAGACGTCACCAGCAATCCATCAGCTCTGATTTCCGCCTCTCCAGATTTCGGTACCCACAGTTACATTTCCGCTCGGACCTCTTGCAGTGTTAGACAAATGCGGTTTGGGAGTTTGTTTTGTGCAATTCTAACAGCTTTATTGACATCATTCATATCTCAGTCGTGTAAACATTTTAAGAAGACTTGTGTAACCATCACCACTATCAATTTGAGAACATTTTCTTGTTTCTTGTACTCCTTATTAGCTACCCAGTCCCCCCAACCTCCCCTGCCATAATCCCAAGGAAGTATTCATCCAGTTATTATTTCTATAGATTTACTTATCCCGGATTTCATAGAAAGGAAAACAAAAACAAGTCGTACAAAAAGAAGTACCAACAGTGATAACAAAAACCTTAGTTGAAAAGATACAAGACAATGATAAAACGAGGGTAACTTTAAAATGCGTCAAAAGGGAATGTGATGGTGTTGGGTGCTGACGAGGTGACTGTGACCCACAAGTACCCTTTAGCCCAGAGTAGCACTCACTACTCCTTAGGGTGTCTAGGGGGTCATCCTGAAAGATGTTGCGATTGTTTTCCCACAGAGCCTCTGGGTCAGTTTGAAACCCGGACTTTTCTAGTTAGCCAGGGGGCACTTAACCTGTGTGCCACCTGGGTTTCCTGTTAGGATGCCCGATCAGCTGGAAAACTCCAGAGGCCCCGTTGCCCACCGTCACTTCTTATTGCTGTTACCGTTAGTTGTCAGTGAGTCGGTTTCGGCTCCAAAGGACCCGGTGCACAACAGAAGGAAACGCCGACCGGCCTTGCATCATCCTCACCCTTGGTCTTAAGTCTGAGTCCACTGTTGTAGACTTCGTCCATCCATCCTGTCGAGGGGCCTCCTCTTTTTCACTGCCTCTCTGCTTCGCCAAGAATGATGTCTTTCTACCGAGACTGGTCTCTCCTGACAACGTATCCAAAGTACATGGGACAAAGTCCCACCGCCCTTGCCGCTAAGGAGCATTCTGACTGGACTTCTTCCCAGACAAATCTGTTTGTTCCCTTGGAAGTCCCTGGTACTCTCAGGATTCTTCACTGGTGCCACAATTCAGACACATTGATTCTTCTTCAGTCTTCCTAATTCTCTGTCCAACTTTCACATGCATGACGCGATTGAAAATCCCATGGTCTGGGTCAGTCGCACATTAGTCCTCAAAGTAGCGTCCTTGCTTCTCAGTACTCTAGAGGGGTCTCTGGAAGCCAATTTACCCAGTGCAACTCGTCGTTTGATCTCATGCAGCTGCTTCCATGACCATTGATTGTGGATCTAAGCAAGATGAAATTCTTGATAACGTCAACCTCTTCTCACGGTACCTGTTGGTCCAGTTGTGAGAATTTTGGTCTTTACATTGAGCTGCAATCCATCCTGAAGGCTGCAATTAGCAAGTGTTTCAAGTGCTCCTTACTTTTCAGAATTGGTTTGATGGCAGTGAGTTTTAGATTTTTTTTTTTGAATGTGTTCTAAGGGATCCCAAAATATCATTTGAAACATTTCCGTACAATTTTGTAAGAAAAGAAGTCTGAAACACAGATTTGCATTCTTCCTCCCTTCTGAAGGAAGGGTTTGTCTTGTGTCTCACAGACAAAACAACTTTATAATAAGTATCTCAGTGGGATGGTAACTTCGCTGTATTTATCTTGATTCTTGACAACATGTAAATAATCTTTGACTAACTATATTTAAAGAATGGCCTAAATTAGGCTGTGGGAGGAAAGGTCTCATTTGCAGAAAAAGTAACAAGCAACTTCTCTATAGTAAGAGGAATGAACTGTCTTAACTCTGGATATGCAGCAACTTACTGGTTTGCTACATAAACCCTGGGAGATAAAGTAAATCGTTATAAAATATGGAAATCTCAGCATATCAATACAGGAGCGAGTGCTCTTTGATTGAGTCATTTTAGTGGTTTAGTTCTTGGCTTTTTCTTCTTGGTTACTGAAGCTTATTTGAATCTATATGATATTTACTAGTATTTGAATGGTCGTTGGTGGAAAACATTTTGAGAAATTTTAGAAATATGTAATTGATTATAAAAGTACATACAATTCGGAACAAAGAGCCTGCTTAAAATTGTCTCCTAATGAGATTGCTTTGGTACCAGGCAATTTGGGTAAGCATCTTAGTGCTATCCACAAGGTCTGAGTTTCAAACCAACCAGCTGTTCCTTGGGAAAAAGATGAGGCTCTTTGCTTCCGTAAAGATGTACATGATCAGAAAACCAGTGTAGGGTCAGTATGAATGAGCATCAATTTCGCAGTGGGCTTTTTTATAAGGGTGTGTGTGTGTGTGGTAGTAATGTGCTGAAGAAGCCATAGTGGAACAGTGGTTAAGTACTTGACTGCTAACCAAAAGGTAAACAGTTCAAACTCACCATCCTCTCCAGGAGAAAGATGAGACAGTCTATTTGTACAGCCTTAGAAACCCTTTAAAGCACGTCTCTGACCTATCAGGTCTCGATGAGTCTGATCTGACGTGGTCGCAGTGGATTGGGGTTTAGTATGTGTTAAGGACACGTCATCAGAAGAGACCGGTCCCTGGAGAGAAAGATGGCGTGTTTGGTCAAGCAGAAGGGCAGAGAAAACGAGGAAGGACGGACTGAGATGGACGGACACAGCAGCTACATTGGTGGGCTCGGGCACAGGAACAATTGCGACGATGGCCAGGACCGTGATGCGATGCGTTTCATTCTGTTGTGCATTAGGGTCATTATGGGTCAGAGCTGACTCGATGCATCTAACAACAGCAAGCAGCCTTGGTGGTGCTGTGTGTTAGGCATTGGGCTGTTAACTGCAAGGTTAGTGGTTCGAACCCACCATGAGGAAGATGAATCCATCTCCTCCCATAAAAACCTACAGTTTCAGAAACCTTCTAGAGAGGTCACTGATTCACACCTACGCAGTGACCCTGCAGGGAAAAGACCTGACAGGTCTGTTTTCACGAAGATTTACTCATGCACTGCCATCCAGTTCATTCTGACGCATGGTGACCCTGTAGGACAGGGTAGAACTGCCCTTGTGGTTCAGAGACAGTAACTCTTTTTGAGAGGAATCAGGCTCATCTTTCTCCTGAGGAGCAGCGGGTGGTTTCGAACTAGTGACCTTGTGGTATGTACCCCAATACGTAACCACTATGCCACCAGCGCTCCTGTGGAGTCAGCTCACAGGTGCCCTCAATGAAAGACACTGGGAGGTGGTATACTGCTGAAAACTCAGCCCCTGACCAGTCTGTGGGGTGCAGTTCTGCCTTAATGCAGTGGGACCCCCGTGAGTTGGAATCCATTCATCGACACATGGTCAAACGCCAGGTTTCTGGAACAAGTCGGTGTGTTATAACTACATACACTTTCCACAGAGGCTGGCTCACCACGCATTGACAGACCAAAAGGAGCACTTGTCAAAATTTTTTAAAAATACAACAAAAAGCTAAACGTCATTTTGTCAATTCCCCTCCGCCACTGTGGTTGCTGCTTTCCCACGGACGAGCCTTTGCCCTCATCTGTCGGTTCTCTTCCCAGAATCTGTTCTGGTTTGGCGTCGGAAAGGCTACGATGCTTTTACTCCCGGCCCTCATCCTGGCCGTCAAGCTGGCCAAGTACTACCGGCGGATGGAATCGGAGGACGTGTATGAAGAGTGAGTGCGAGGGTCCCGGGAAGGGGGCTGGGGCTGGGGGTGGGGCTCTCACGTGATGGATCCTGGGGGCACAACCTGAGGGACTGCCCTCTTTGAAGAGCTGCTTGACTTGCTTTGACTTTATTAAAATTTAAGGTGATCTTTGTGCAGGACTGAATTTTTCAAGCGTACGTTAATTGCTCTTTTTGTTTTGGTCTACTTTGGGTGGTTTTTGTGTGTCTTTTTGTTTCTCGATCTTTGGTTAATCTTCTCAGCTTGTTCAACCAGCCTCTCTCTTTCTCCTTTGCAGCGCCTGTGTCTCGGGGGCCTGGCATTTTACTTTATGATAACTTGTCTTTCCTGGTCCTTCTCTGGGCTCGGTGGTCTTTCCCTCCCCTGTGTCTGCTGAGCACGCATGCGCTCCGTTCTCATTTCATGCCTGCCTTCTCAACACGCCTCTCTCCTGGGCTTGCACCCCTGCAAGGCATCAGCTGTAGAATGAAAAGACTCAACACAGCTGTTGGGCTCGACTACTAGTGATTTAAAAACATAATAACCCTGTCTCCCTTTTTGTTTGTATTTTATAGTGTTGAAACTGTACCCATGAAAAAGTAAGCCCCCTTTTCCTTTGTCTTCTTTTTAAAAATCCATGTTCTTAAGGGGGGATTGGTGCGGGATGGGGGTTGATTAAGATTCGATGGATTTTTAAAGTTAAATTGATTCTGTCTGAACCACGGCTGGTAGCAGTGGGAGTACCCAGTGACAAATACAATCTGAAGGCAGATGCGTTAAATACAAATAAGCTTCAAACAATGAGTGCGGACCAACCAAGGAGGTAGTTAGGAAACTTGACAAATGAATAGGAAAAGAAGTTCACATGTAAGAGCAATATCCACCCTGATGTGCCGGGCCTTTTAAGTTCCGTCACACACATGTGAAATAACACCCAGTTGCATCAATGCAAGTCTTGGGTGCTCCCTCAGGCATCAGGAAATGATGGACTTTTTAAAGTGACAGCTCCCAGCCATCCTATAGTCGCATCTAGTAGCCCAAGCACAAGTCAGTTCTAAAGCCTTTAGAAAAGAGCGTTGACACATAAGGGCTGGCTGCACAAGGAATATTTGACTTTAATTTTTTAAAATGGCATCTGTCACATTCATCTACAGAGTAGCTAGCTGCTTCAGTGTCTAGCACATGTACCCTTTTAACAATGTCTTTGTCAACCGAGCATGTTGGCCCCTACTTATCACGACCATGCCATTGTCCTTGTAGCCCGTGGCGTAGACTCTTCATCATATAGATAACATAGTCTTCTTGGTGTCTTTATTTCTGTTGCAGTCTGGAATATGGTAATAATGGTTATCATAAAGACCACTTGTATGGTATCCCCAATCCTTTCATGACAAGGTAAAGCCCGAGTCCGCAAGTGCATGCCTGCCCTGTCTGTGTGTGTGTGTGTGTGTGTGTGTGTGTGTGTGTGTGTGTGAAAGCCCACCACCCCGGGATCTTCTGTGGATCAGACACTGGGTTTCCTGCATGCCTGGAATGCTATTCCCCTTTCCCCGCATGCCCCCCTCTGGATGGTTTGTCTCCGATCAACCCTGCATAGCATTTGATGATGTCACATATTTAAATGGCCAGTCGTCGGTTGAGGAACAAATGACTCGGCAGCTAAGGGTTGATGCCATCTTGAAATGCTATGTGTGTCAGTAGAGCTATATGGGTGTGCTGCATGCTGGCTCACACGTAGCTTTCCACCCCCTCCACGTTACCTCCGAGTGGGTATCATCCACAAAACCCTCCCTCCTCCCCACCTCCACTTTCTCCCTCCTTTCTTTCCAACAAATTAACTGGGAGCAATCAGATCCAGAGCCCTGCCTCCCTCCTTCCAAAATCCTTATGGATTTATATCCTCTTGAATTAGGGTCCCTATGAGCCTGGGGTAACTTGGCGGCAAAAAGCCTGATTTGTTTTCTAAGCATTAAGGAGGAGCTTCTGTGGTTGGGGCTTGGTAACCTGGTGGTGTAGTGGGTTACCCATCGGGCTGCCGCTGAAAGGCCAGCAGTTTGAAACCATCAGCCCCTCTGTGGGAGAAAGACGAGGCTCTCTACTGCCATAACGAGTTACAGTCTTGGAATCCCACAGGGCAGTTCTCCCTGTCCTATTAGGTCACTGCGAGTCAGAATTGACTCTACGTTTGAGCATCTGGTTTGTGGGCCGTCAGATCTGGACAGTGTAAATGCTTAGCACCCTTGGCTTGGCCGCTAACTGGAAGGCTGGAGGTTCAAGTCCACCCAGAAACCATCTCCTGACAAGATTTTCAACAGCTCAGCTGTTGAAAATCCTCTAGAGCACAGTTTCACCCCAATGCACATGGGGCCGCCATGAGTCCCAGTGGACTTGCCACTGGTTTTAATCTGGCTGCCAAACCAGTTCCCCTCAGCCTCAACCCAGGGACACCCACTGGTCTGTATTTGTTAACACGGACGCCTGCTTCTCTGGATACAAAGGAAGCCCTGACATTTGCCTCTGCACGTGCGTGCCCCAGTCATTTCCTGCTGTGTTGACCCCACAGATTTCCAGCTGCACCGCAGGAGAACACCGTACTTGGGAACAAAAGTCAGAGAAGGTACTGAGCTCTTTGGGAAAAGCCTTCTCTCAATCAGACCCCAGGCTGCTGCTGTTGTCAGGTGCCGAGTCGGCTCTGACCCATAGCAGTCCTCTGCCCAACAGAACCAAAGACTGCACAGTCCTGGGCAGAACACACGTACCAACCGAGTTGAGGTGCAACTTGACTGCAAAGACTTGAAAGTGATTGGCATTGGTCGTTGGTTGTGATGGTGTGTCTCATGTTCCTTTCAGCTGCCTTTCCTAAATGCCCGCAAACTCCGGCTTCTCCTTTGTCCCTCACGAGGGGCAGAATGGAATACAGAACTCTAAAGAGCATGGATCAAAGGGACTGGGAGTTGCTTGCAGGCTTGCTTTTGTACGAAAGACACAACAGAAGGGTCCTCTGTGCAGATGTGTTGGATGAATGAATGGCTCCGAACCTTCCACCCTGGCCTTGGGCAGATCCCTGGAGGAGATCACATGGGCGGCTTGTTTTCTTTCCTCTTCTGAGGAGCTCAGGGAGCTGGATGGTGACGTGAAGGTTCTTAGTTATTTATTATCAAGAGAGAGAGTCGCTTCCTGCATGCCCACAAGCTTCAGAGGGTCAGAGAGTGGGGTTCTGCCCAACCCTAGAAAGCTCATTGTCCTGGAGCCAGCACATAGCAAACCTCTAGGGCAGAGTAGACCTGCCCCATAGGGCTTCCCAGTCTGCCATCCTTGCTGCAGCAGACTGCCGCATCTGCCCTCCATGGCGCAGCTGGTGGGTTCAAACTGCTGACCTTCAGGCTAACAGCTGAGCATCAAGACACCAGAGCTCTGCAGTTCTACACCGTTTGGCCCCCAGTCCCCAGCCCCCTCTCTCAAACAGAGGCCAGACCACTGCTCTTCATCCTGGTTAACCCTCCCAAAAGCCATTCTGGAGACTTGGGAAGGGAAGGTCATGCCCAAGGTTACACTACCAACAGGAGGCCAAGCTGAGAGTCCAACCAACAACGTGAGTGTTTTCTTTCTGGGTCTCCCAAAGGGTCCACACAGCCTGGAGACAGCGTGCCTTCTCCTCGTTTGACTCTGAAGACATTAAACTGCCGAGCAACTGCACGAAGGACCGCAGGGAGAGCTCCCGATCCCTGGGAAAGGGGAGACATCAGAGTTGTAGATGAAATGTTCCCCCTTTTGGTGTTCCCAGCATTGAGGAGGAAAACGTACCCTGGGGAGGGGGGCAGACAAAACATGCCTCCCAGTTGCCTTTTTTGCAGAGGCTGCTGTGGGTGGGGGGCTGTCCCCGCCCTGTCGAGTGGCGGATTCTTGGGGAGATATAGGAGGTACCCACACAGGCTGCAGTCTACCGCCAGACTGAAGCTGGCAGGCCCCAGGGAACTCTACGGGAACCACCAAACCTTGGCCTTGTGTTCTGGCTGGCTCAGGAGAGGGTCTGTAGAGCCCTTGCCCCTGTGTTTGAGGATTGGGGAGCCAGTTCCTTTCTCCTTCAACAAAGACTGAAAATGTGAAGCAGCCGTGGCAAGGAGCTGCCACCTTCTTCTCGGCCTACGCCCTGTTGGTCCACTTTGCCCAGAGCTCTGAATGAGAGAGAGCGCGAGTCTGAGCCCAAGCCAGGTCAACGAGAGAGGCGAGAGCGTGTGGCGTCTGTCACCAGTGCCCGCTGCTGGGTGCCTTTGTATTGGCTCTCCAGAGGTTAGCATTGCGATCTCAAGTCCTCTTGAGAAGGTCTATCTAAGGAGGGAACCCCAGGACGGTTTCTGATTGCTTGAATTGGTGTGTCCTTTCTCTGACATTTCCAGAACCGTGTCTCTGCGAGGTGGTGGTACCACAGGAGAGGCAAGGCTGGATGTGACACTGGTTGTCCAGGCAGGACGTCCAGCTGTCCCTCTGCAGAAGGAGGCGTGTGCCCCTTCCAGCCCTGTTGTGTGAGCAGCTAGAAGCCCAGCCCACAAGATCCCTTAGCACCTAGACCTGATTTTTCCAACGAAATTCCACTTGCTGATAAGGCGCTTCCAACTCATGATAGGCCGGCGTGTCATGGCAGAACTGTGCTGTGGATGGCTTTCGATGGCTGATTTTTCAGGAGACCACCAGGCTTTACTGCCACGATGCCTCTGGGTGGCTTCAAACCTCCAGCTGTTTGATTAGTAGCCGGGCAAATTAACTATTTGCCCCACTCGTGGACTCCATCAGAGCTGGACGTCCTTCGGGACATTCAGTCTCAGGGTGGACTGCTGAGGGTGGTCAGGGGAGACTGAGCCCTCTGGCCCCTTCACGGACGAGCTTCCTTCCTTGAGCATAAGTGAGGGTGCAGCAGGTGGCACACAGACCAACCGTGTCAGGTTCCCCAGTCTGCAAGGCAAGCACACCTTTCCTTGTGCTTCCTTACTTATGTGTAGTCAACCTGTGGTGGGAGCTGGACCAAGGGACTTGCACAGGTCCCACTTGCTTCTAGCCTCTGATCCCAGGCTGATTTCCAAATGCTGCCTGAGGGACATGAGTGGCTACACGGCCTGGGTTTTATTCGCCACATTCGATGGTGAATACCCATAATTCTACTTCGTGCCGTTTGTTTCTATATACATCTCTGAAAGCAAAATAAACAAGCCCGGGGAAACCCCGTTAATTGTTGGCAGTGTTCCCAATAAGCTTTCTGGGGGGTGGTTCCTATTCATCTCGTGATTCATCCCTGCCTCTTTGTCAGCAAGGAGGGTCCAGACCCCCGGCAGCTCTGTCTCAGAGGGTTTCATTTGTGTGCACTCTCTCTCTCTTCCAGCTCTATGGTACATGAGAGCTGAGCATGAAGTTGCTTGAGGTAAGTTGACTACCTGGAGAGACTTTAGTGGATCAAGAGAATCATTTTTACAACACTAAAATGTTCAACTGACCTAGCTGAACCCTATATGAGTGCACTATCTAGGCCAGTGTATAATGTTACAGTATGATTATATCTAGACTTAATGATTGTATCCTAATGTATACTTCATGACCACAGAGAGCTATATGAGTATATAGACACACACACTAATTATGAAAGGGCTTCAAAGAGCTGGTGGGAAAATTAGATTATATTTTAATTCCATGTTTTACAAGCTTTTGGAAGCTCCTTATTGTGTGAATATATATGCTACTGATCTATGTATTCTAAACATATGCTCTGTGTATACATGTGCATATGCCTAGTATAGTCATAGTGTTTGTGTATGCATGTATATGCTAAATATATATATATGTATATTTACAGCATATGTAGACTTTGTGTGAATACACACACACACATAAGCTCAATGTGGGTATATGTACACTATCAGTATGTACGTGTACACAAACACAGACTATGAAAAGTGTAGACTCTGAAAAAAACCCGTGCACCAACCATGGGTTTTCATTATTATAAACTTGAAAGGTTTTGTAAGTGTGTATATGACCTTTTTTTTTGAGGGTGGGGGACAACAAATGTATGTATAACAAGTGATCGCATGGAGCATTTTTTAGAAACCACAATGACAATGTGATCACACGGGAGGCTGAACCAAGACGTTTGCCTCCTGAAGGCATCTCTCTTTTTCTAGACTTTGCCCCCCATTTTTTTTTTTTTTGCTACAATCATTGTGCTTCACAGTTCTAAGCCTGGCTCTTAACTTCTGTGTGACCTTCTTTTCAGCTTCAAGACCCTGAGAGTGGGAGGTTCTTAGACTTCTGGTTGCTGCTGGCCCTGCAAACACTTTCCAAATCCCAGATGGAGCTGGCCTGGCCCTCTGAGGAGCACCGGGAGGCCAGCTGTGGAGACGAGGCCACTCCCCTTGGATGGGCTCTCAGGATGAGCCCCACACTCCCAGGGACAGTCCTTGCCCATGGCCACCCCCGCCCACCCGCCTGCTTGGTGTTACTTGAGTTCTCTTTGTTCTCACACTGGGTTCCTGTGTGGACACGACAACATAGAGTGTACCTACTGGGGTGCATTTCTGGGTCACGCAGCCACTCCAGTGTCACAGCTCGGTTTGGAACCCGCTGTCTGCTGAGCAGGGCCCTCCATGCATGCCTGCTTACAGGAAAGCTGCCTCTCCTGTTGGGCAAATCTTGTTATTGCTTCTGTTACCACAGCCAGAGTGTTTTCAACAAATGAGTATTGATGATTTCCTTCCTAAGTCATTGTTGACTTACTGCTACTGCTAAGTTGTGACAATGACAGCACCCACCCCCTTTTTTTCGTTTCTTTTCGGTTTTTACGATTGATTTTAATCGCTTGTCATGTTCGTTTACAGACCCCGCCACTTGTCGTGTTCAGAAATAGAATGAACAGCCCATCCCAAAGCGATCTGTTACTGCTCCTGGCACAAATGAAAGAGTCAGAGACGAGGAAGCCGGAAACAGAAGACATGCCATCCTGCAGCGAGTGTAGCTATTGTAGCATATGTCATGGACAGGGGACGCTTAAGCTCCTTCGCCTAAACCCTAATTGGAGCGCTGCAGGATAATCTGTTAACAGGTGTGGCTGGGGCCTTTTTTTTTTTTAATGAAATCGAAGACAATTCTGCCAGGTCTATTAGGTTTGGGGTCTAACATGAATGAAACCCTTGAACTTGGTCTTTACAAAGCCCAGAAAGGACACACTAAGCATCTGTCTACGCGGAGAGTTTTCTGTTAGCTTTGTCATCAACAACCATGATCAAAATGAGAAAAACACTGTTGACGAAAATGGATCGTTCATGTACAGAAATCGGAAATGTAGATTTTTTTCCCACGGCAGATCTTTGAATCTGTACAGTGCAGTTCTGATTTCTATCAATAAAAAGAACTTGAAAAACTGTGTGTGCCTGGTTTTTGATTCCCTAGCCTTGTCCGCGGCCATCGAGCGGTTCCATCTGCACCAGAAGGAAACACCGTCCGGTCCTGCGCTGTCCTCACAACTGTTAGGTCACGCCATGGTTGCCGCAGGCACTCTGTCGATCCATCTTGTCCAGGGGCTTCCTCTTTTTCCTTGACCTCCGACGTTCGCAAGCATGACGTCCTTTGAGGGAGACTGGTTTCTTCTGCTGACATGTTCAAAGTACATGTCCACCTCGTTCGGAGTGTGCACCTCCTTCGAGACAGATCTGTTCCTTCTTGGGAAGTTCGTGGTGTGTCCGATGTTCTTCACCAGCACCTTCACTCAAAGGCAGACTTAGGAAACCCAAAATGCAACCCACCCCCATCCGGTCCATTCTGACTCACAGCGACAATCTAGAGCAGAGTAGAATTGCCCCTTCTGAGTTTCACAGATTAATCCTTAAGGGAGCAGACAGCTTCCTCTTTCTCCTGCAAAGTGAATGTTGGATTTGAACCACTATCCTTTCAGTTAACAGCCAAATGCTTAACATATGATACCATCGGCTCTTGGATGACCTCTTTCGGCCATCAAGTCAATTCTGGCTCAACTAACCAATAGGACAGGGTAGAATTGCCCCTGTGAGTTTGCAAGGCTGTAAATCTCTATAAGAGCAAACAATCTCATCTTTCTCCCACAGAGGGACCGGTGGGTCCAAACAGCTAACCTTGTGGCTAGTGGCCCCACACATAACCCACGACACCACCAGAGCTCCTTAGCAGGTCTAGAGACGTTCACATTTCATACGAGACTGAGATTACATGCTGCTTCTAAGACCATAATGAAGGGGCTACAATACAGAATCCCCGGGTGGTGTTAATAGTTAATTTGCTGGAGGTTCAAATCCACCTAGGAAGAAAGACCTGGTGATCTACCAGACAATCACTGGAGCCTTGTTCTACGCTGATAATCCACTCAATGGTGATTGCTTTGTTTGTTTGTTTGTTTTTAATACAGAAGCAATCAGAGTTAGAATCAACAATGGCCTGCTTCAAAGGGGGCTATTAACTGGATCCATTCTGTCTACAAAAGCCTCCAGGCTTACTTGTTAGCATCTGCCGTCACCATTGCTTAGGGAACGGTCAGTCAGCATACTCACTCCGTCAGTCAGCATACTCACTCCGTCCCTTAATGTGCTCTTAAGGGAATCCTGGTGGTGTAGCGGTTAAGCGCTCAGCTGCCTGCCACCCTAAAGGGGGATGGACCATTGGAACGGACCAGCCACGGGGTGGGAGAAAGACGAGGCTGTCCACTTGGGTAAAGACGGCAGCCTTGGCAACCGCCTGCGGCTGTTCTCTGTCCTGTAGAGTCCCTGGGACAATGGACTCAGTGGCAGTGGGTTTTCTTGTGTTGTAAAATGTGTGAGTGCCAAGTGAATTCTTGTTACGCTACATGTCTACCTGTCAGAGGCTTGCAATCTGGACAAATTAACTAATTTGGACAACTATCCAGGGTGGGAAATAATCCCTGAAATTGGCGTTTTCACACCTGATTTTGATATCCTTACAGACTTACCATTCAAAGTGTTCCAGCCCTCTAAATTCCCCACATCATAGCTTACTCACCAGCTTCCCGACCTCGAGCATCTCCTGGTGTCAAACCCCGTGACAAGAAATCAGGTGTGGCATTCCCTGGTATCTTGCCAGGGAAGCCTTTCCTCCCCACCAGGGAACAAGCAAACATTCCCTCCCTCCTCCCGCTCTGAAGAAGCTCTCAACCCATCTCGACCTCCCCTTGTGCTTCAGCTGCTGGTCCCTGATGTCCACCCCTCTGACCCCGTGGAGGGGCTCTTCTCAAAGACGCTGGTGCCCACTTGCTTGATGATGTTAACAAGGCCCTTTATTCTGCCTTGGCCTCTTGGTAACTTGTGACGATGTTGACCTCTCCCTCTTTCAAAAATCTTTTAAACTTAATTTTCTTTTATTAAAAAAATAATTTTGGGGGGGGCCTTACAACTTTTATAACAATCCATGCATCAATTGTATCAAGTATATTTGTACATATGTTGCCATCATTTTCAAAACATTTTCTTTCTGCTTGAGCCCTTGGTATCGGTTCCTCTTTTTCCCTCCTTTTCCCACTCTCCCACCCTCATGAACTCTTGATAAATTATATATTAGTATTATTTTCATATCTTACACTGATTGTTGTCTCCCTTCACCCATGATTCTATTGTTCTTCTCTTTTGGGGGGTGGTTATATGTCGATCATTGTAATTGGTCCCCCCATTTTCCCCTTCCCCCACCTCTGGGTATCCCTCCTCCCATTTCTTTACTGGAGGGGTTTATCTGTCTTGGATTCCATGTGTCAAGAGCCCCTATCTGTACCAGTGTACATGCTCTGGTGTAGCAGGATTTGTAAGGTAGAGCTGGGGTCATGATAGTGGGTGGGGGAGGAAGTATTAAAGAACTAGAGGGATGTAGTTTGATCGGTGCTATACTGCACCCTGGCTGGCTCACTGCTCCTTGTGACCCTTCTGTGAGAGGATGTCCAATTGTCTACAGATGGGTTAATTTTCTTTAATTGTGAACTAGGTAAAAGTTCACAGAGCTGATCATCAGTTTTCTCTTCAACAGTGGAAACATACTTGTGTCCCCTTTTCCATCCCTCCCCCTTCAATGGGCCATCACTCCTCCAACTTCCTGCTTCCAGTCCTCTTTTCCTAACCTCCTGAACCACTAGTGTCCTTGGGAAAATGCTGCCCTGTTGATCTTAAATGTTGACTAAGCTAACATCAAGTCTAGAACCTGAAGGGTGACGAAAGGTGAAGGGCACCATATTGGGGGTCTGGAGCAAACAATGTGGGGGCAATGGCTGGCCTCCTGGCTTCTTTAGTGCTGAGAGGCAAGGGCCAGCCATGTCTCCACCTTCCATCCTTCTATACCCTATGCTGGCACCTTCCATTCCCCCTCCAACAACATTCTACCTCAGGCTGGAAGACACTCAAAATATGATTGAAGAAGACCTTTTGCTTTTTTCATGAATGATGTTCTTGATGTTATTAGACACTTGAATTGTGGGCCTTCAGGAGAATTTTGAAAGTACTGCTACAAAGACAAACCTATCTGCCTTGAAAGTAGCCAAGCAAAGCCTCTGGGGAAGCTTGACTGTCTAAGGACGACACTGGGCATCAGAATCCGCTCGACAGTTCTCAACAGCACACAACCCTTCTTTCTTCTCCTTTTCAACGTCAGGGCTGCTTCTCATTGGCTCGGCCATCTTACAGGTGTGATGTAGTCTTGGCCACTTGGCATCTTTTGGATTAACCAGATTCATTGCCCACCATGTTGGGGACCGCGGAGGAGAGGACAACCCTGAGGGAGCCCAGGCGCCAAGCTACACAGATCCCAAATGTTCACAAGGAAGATGCTTATGAATATGAAATTAAAAGATATTAGACATATTAACCCTATAAAAGAAAGAAAACATTGAAACGCAGAGTCAGGGGTGGGCATTAGATAGATAAGACTGGGGCTAAAGTAAAAACAAAAACATGCAATGAAGCTTACTGATATGGGTCCCTTAGATAAGAAGACAGACCTAATAACACACAGGAGAAGCATTTTCTGCATATGAAAACAGGGAACTTCTGGTAGCCCAGGTGACCCCAGCACCTGAACAGTCAAACTCCCTTGGGAGTGGCAGCAGGATTTCAGCTGTTGGTGAGCTGGTGAGGGAAGTGTAGCCAAGGACACTGTGACTGCTAGAGGCTGAGCCAGACTCCATGTGCCATGGAGTGTCTGTTTCAACTCACAGGGAGTCGAGAGTTGCAGGCAAGGCAAGCTGGCTGTTATCTAATCGGACCAGAGACCACAAACCACGGCTGATGTTCTTGCTTGGTGTGTTTTCAGTTTAACGTTGGAACTGCCTGGTTTCTGCCTCCCTACCCTTAGTCCTTGGTCAAGGCCTTTGTCGTGCATCCGTGAAGAGCTTACGTGACGCATTGCACTGGGTCACTGCGCTGCACGAGATCTCTGTAAGGGGGTCAACCACAAGGATATTACTCGGGGGCCTAAGGTATTTTCAACCCCTCCAAGCCCTGGCATTTTCAATCTCCCCATTTGCATGTGAAAGAGGGACATTGAATAAAGAAGCTCAAAGAAGAATGGGTGCGTTTGAATCATGGTGCTGGAGAAGAATATTGAAAATACCATGGACTGTCTAAAGAGCGAACGGATCTGTCTTAGAAGAAGTATGACCAGAATGTTCCTTAGAGGCAAGGATGACACGATTTCATCTTACAGGTTGGTTATGTGGTCAGCAGACACCCATCCCTGGAGGACATCGTGCGTGGTAAAATAGAGGGCACTGGAAAAGCTGAATGCCTCGGCAAGATGGATGGACACAGTGGCTGCAGTGATGGGTTCGAACACAGGAACAATTGTGAGGGGGGCCCAGGACCAGGCAATGTTGCATTCTTGTGTACACAGGGTTGCTTTGAGTCGGATCCTATTGGAACCTATGTGAAGGCACCTAACAATAACATACAAGACTGGTGGCATAGGGGGTTATGTATCAGGCTGCTAACCACAAGATCAATGGTTTAAACCCACCAGCCACTGCAAAAGCGAAAGAGGAGACTGTCTGCTCCCACAGCAGTTTATGGTCTCAGAAATCTGGTGTCGGGCCCATGTAAGTCAGAATCGACTCGGTGGCCGTGGGTTTTCTCTGTTATGTGCCAAGTAGGGGCCCTAGGGTGGCAAGAATTAGGTTCTCAGCGGCTAACCCAAAAGTCAGAGGTTTAGACCCACTCAAAAACAGGTAGGAAAGCCTGTCCATCTGCTCCCATAAAGATGATGCCCAAGGAAGCCCATGGGGCCTTCTACTCTGCCACATGCAGTCACCATGAGGGAAAGTCTACTGGTCAGCACTCACCAACTGCGAAGCACTGGGCAGCAGGGTGGGGAGAGAGGGAGGGGCTAGCACATCCTAGGAGCTCAG